CAAAGTCAAGAGCATACAAAATAATCTCGGGGCTTTGGTAATTCTTTATCTAAATGATGTATGGTACTTACATATCAAAACAAAGATTATAAGTACTTTAAACAACCAAAACAATCACACTTCAAAATATATGGATACAAAAAAGATCACACAGGGAAGTAAAATTAACATATATGATTCCGTGGCACTAGGAAACTGTGCATAAATAGCAAATATGTCTAAAAATTAAGTACTGAGTATTTAACAGAAATTATAAATCTTTATAAGTATTTCTATTACATTTTGCCTTAATTTGGGGCTATTTTTAATTAGTCTGCGCGAGTCTTTTTTGTACCAGTAAATAAAAATCTAAGTTTGGTCGAATTTATTCCCCAAGATGATATTTTGAGCTGCAATTTCAAATTTATTCTATGTTTATACAAGGTGCACCTGCCCAAAATGTTTTACTACTCGTATCGGCGTTCTTACGTATTGCGGCTTTTAACAGTATTTATTTCAACATTTAGCAATTAGATATAAAAGTAAATACACTTTACAAATTAAACAATTATTTCAGTCAGAATCTTAAAGAATTGACATTATTCCAAAGCCTACCTGTCAAGCTCTAGATACAATGCACCCAATATATAACCGTAATGCACTATTTAAACCACTTTTTTTCACATCCAAATAACATTTCCACAACCTCCGAACATTAATCTCCAAAACCTTCAAAATAGTAATAACCCATTTATCTTTAATTCATTAAAGATTCTCCATTACTTCACGCTAAAACCACACACATAGTAAAACTTTTTAAAATGGCGGCTGTCGCCTCGTTCGCATTCGGATCGATGGTGCAAGTGCCGACGTGCGTCTGTGAATCATCGGTCTCTGGCCTCGACAGGACGAGGGTATTGCTATCGGGAACGTACGCGTTTTCTCGTACTTATGCAACAGACGTCATACTTTGCCGGAATATGGCAGATAGCGCTTAGGTGATGTGACGGCATTAATTGTAAGTGTTGCACAAAGGCGCACTTTTTGAAATGAAATTGGAAAACGCTCGAACACTTTTTTTTACAGATTCATAGAAAATTACTAGTGTTTCACAATAGTAATTTCTTTTAGCAACTAGACTACATACCAATATTAATATATCTGATTAACAGCCATAAAGAAAGTGTTTTTACTATTTTCCTCAGCAAAATCATTCTTACAATGTACAATTATACTCCAGGTACCATTATTAGAAATCCTCCAATCATTAAATAAAGCAATTTTAGTGGTAAATGTTAAAATATGAATCTTCTAAACTCAGCACAACTGATATATCCACAGCTGATGAGTACATATTGAATACGTAGATACCTATTTCACTTGTGTGAAATAAAAAAATGCAGTTTTAATATACACAAGTACAAAAGAAATATATTTGTAGTCTAACTTAATTACAGTCCTTCCATTACATTTATAACTATAAAATTCATATAAAAACAAACATTTCACAACTCAAAACAATATTTTTAAAGGCCCCTTACCGGAAAGTAGATTTGAAGCATCTTCTCATAGATTATAAGATCTTTTTCTAAGAAAACACAAAATATGATACGATCAACAAGTTGCTCATTCTTTTCTAAGAACTCTCTTGACAATCTGCAGGCAATTCTAGCGGCAGCAACATCAGGGTATCGGTAGATTCCAGTAGAAATACAAGGGAATGCAATTGAACGTAACTGCTTAGCTTGCATTTCATCGAAACAACTTTTATAACATGATTTTAAGAGGTCTGGTTTCTCTCCTACTGGCCCCACGGTGTGAATAATATCTGTAATAAATGAAATAGTAATAACACACATTTAAATGGTACAAATATACTAAAAAACATGTCTTAAAAATGTGGTACATCTTATGCATATGTTCTAAGTAAATGGACTTTAGCTTGACAAATACTTTTGGATAAAATATTTAAAGTACTAACATTTTGCTGGTAATTTATAGCCACCAGTCGTTTTAGCTTTGCCAGTTTGACAGCCATTGAGTGTTCTACATTCGATCTGAAAATGACAACATTTTTCATAAAAAATATGGGATGAACTAGTTATTATGATGTACCTTTAGGTTGGGGCCTGCAGCTCTGTGAATAACACCATCGACACCACCTCCTCCGAGCAAACGTTCATTAGCAGCATTAACGATAGCATCAATCTAATGGTAATAATAAATTATATTACTATATTTTTGACTTAATCAAGCATTGAGTAAGAAATGTTACCTCAAGTGTCGTGATGTCTCCATGCCATACAGATACCTTGTTACACAATTTTTGATCAAGACTTGCATTCATCAAACCTATATCAAAATCTAAATCTAAGGGGGTCAGATCATGTATTCTTTCCCTGTTTTGGTTAAAATGGTCCTTCCAAGTGATGACATCGTCAAGAGTGAAATAGTTTGTTTTGCATTCATAAAAGTTCCTTTTATTCTCGACTGACATGTCGAGAAATTTATACTTTTCAGATTCCCACAAAGCCATCATAGGATGCAATTTAGGTTGTCGGCTCTCTATTTCTGCTTCGTTATTAATTATCTTTAAAAATCTTACAGCTGGCCGTATTTTGGCGGCGACTGTCAAAATTTTCCAGTTGTTGATCATTTTGGAAAACAGTTATCAAGGGTTGGTGCGCCTGTCGTTAGATGTCACAACCGTAGAGGTTCATATCATAATTTTTTTTGAAATAATTATTTTTCTGCGACTAAAAACATACTTAGTAATGACCAATGTACATTAATTTAATTTTTTATTTTTAAAATGAAACAATAGATACACGATTTCACCGGCATGGCCATCCAAAATATATACATATCGATTTGAGCTACGGCGCCGAATCCGAATGTATCAAATATTGTGCTTACGACCTTAGAATATTATGTCATATACTGCGTAAGAATTAAAATTATTTAAAAAAATTCAAGATGTGTAATTTAGCGTTGTTAATAAAAGCTGTTCTAATAGGTAAATACGAATGTCTTAAATTCATAATGAATAAAATAATACGCCTATTTCAGTGACCACGAATACATCACATTTCTTACCATTGGTTATTTCATACCAATAGGCGTATATTTTGTACATGAAAACCTTATATTCTCTATTTTTCTTGTATTTTGCTCTAAAATTACCTTAATATAATTCATATTTCGAATCTGTGTAACATAATCTGACAATCACAATTTTCAACTTACTATTTTTCTATCCAAAAGACCACTACTCAAAAATTCAATAAATTCATATTTACTATTTTCACTTGTAAATTTAATTTTATGATTTTTGCTATTACAAATTAAGTAAATTTTCATTTCCCATTTCCTTTTCAGCACATTTAGTAAATGTGATTTGTAGTCTTCAACTAGAAGGACTTTCAACAAAAAAACCTAGGACAACTAAATACCAAAAATCCACACCTTCCTCAGTGCTGGACACACATTCCCAAGGAGTTAGTATAATATATATATATATATATATATATATATATATATATATATATATTTTAAACATTGTTTGGATGGATTGTTCAATTAATACTTATTATTTTTCAGGAAGAATATAGGCCTCCACCGACACCATCCACCACATCCTTGTACAGAGTTAATAATTCAAATGGTATCACTTGTATTTTAATGAAAACAGATGCTTTAATAAGCATCCAGTATAGAGATAAATTGGGAGAAGACAAAGTAAGAACTTTGTGTTATAGTGATTCTAAGAAAAAGTACTAAATCATTTGTTTAAATTTACAGGAGGCCGACAGTTTTGTGCCTGATAATGCAAAAGTAACTGGTGATTGCAAATATGAAGATACTGCTTCCATGACAATATCATGGAAAGGATTTAATTTGGCATTTGGATTTGCAAAGGTAGGAACATTCATTATTTTAATAAAATATTGATAACATGGCCGATTTTTCATGGGTTTAATAATAAACTTCATAATAACCCTTATATAAATGGACTGTTTTGGTAAAAATGTAGCATAACTATCTGTTTAAAATGATGGAAGATTCTAGAATATTTTTTAAATTTTTCATGAATTCTAGCCCTGAATTATTGTTCGCAAAAACCTTAATCTCAGACACCAAAAAAATATGAAAACTTCTCTATAATAGCACATCCTTCCTAACTTGCTATTATAAAACAAAGTTACACCCAACAAAATAGTCTGTATGAAAGTGTGGGTGTTAAATTATCAAAAGTATTTTTAAAACAAAATTTCAAATTCTCTATAAATTGTAATTTCAGATACCAAATATCAAAAAATCTGCTTCTACTCTAGTAGTATCCACTTAACTTACTATTCTTTTACCAAAAAATAAGAGATCCAAAATAAAAGACCATTATTATTTTGTGATAAATTTAATAAGCAAAGCATAAATTTGATTGAAAATCAGAAACGTGTCTTTAGTAAAGATTATTTGCTGGATATTGCTTTAGCATCAACGTTTATAAAATAGAGACATTATCTTGATTTAATAGTGAACACATCATATGTGATTTTACCTCAGGCTATTCAATATATATGGATTCAGGAAATGCATACCTTAGAAATCCTGCAAAAATTTCTTCTACATTTGTATTCTAGGCATAATTCCTACTTTATTTCCTGTATTTTCTTCCCATATTGCTCACTCTAAATTTGAGAAATGCATGTCTTAGTAGTCCTCTAAATTATCTTTCCATTTATACTTCAGGTTCAAATCCTTCTTCGCTTCTTCTCAGTGAAAGTGTCCTTTTAATTTCCAGTAAATCCTGAATGTATTCAATAATTTTATTTTGTAATGTTCAATGTGAATTCCAATTTCTCTCCTAGACGCCCGGTGGAGAAAGATGGTACGTCAACAAAGTCGACTTATCATACTCCACATCTAACAAATTATTCGAACATGTCGACAAACCTCGTGTCGACCTGGACCTGAGCACCCCACCTGGAAGGTCAACCCTTCTATTTCCCACCCCTGTTGGCAAGTCATTTAAATGTGATTCGGAGACTGCAGTAGATCTGACAAATTACGATGAAAACATAGATACTACCCAAAGCGCCAAAGTTTATTTGAGAGATTTTCGTTTGCAAGCTTTTATGTACAAAGCGGATAATAATTTTGGGCCCCCTTTTGGTTGCACCTTGGGCGGCAGTGTGCGGTCAGAAACGGCCCCAATTGCGGTAGGATCGACGTTGGCGATTGCTGTTTTGTGTACTGTGACGGGATATGGGGTTTTTAGATATATGAAAGTTAAAAAGGTTCAGTATGATACTATGGAGTAAACTGTAAGTACCAATTACTTTTTTTAAACGTGAAAAAATCCTTTAAAGGATAAGAGTTGATTTGGACTAGAAAATCTTTATTTTACATCGTTTAGTTTCCAAGAAGTATGTTCTTCAATACTGGTCCTGAACATTATCCTATTCTGAATGTCCTTACAGTAATTTTGTCTTTAATATCAGGCCATCATATTTCACTACAAATATTAAGCTATTCGTGAAGCAACTTTGGATTTTCTATCAAAAGGTAATTTTGAAACTTTTAAAACAAATTGTTTACAAAACAATAAATAATCCATTCATTTGATACCATTTGTTTTTATCAAATTATTCAAATTATTAGTTACTAAACAATTTTTTCTACATAAAAAAACCTGATGATAACCTTTCTAGTTGCTTTTCTATATCCAAAAATGTTGTTTCTTTTATATAATTTATACTTAATAATTAAAAATGTGCAAGTATACTCTCTGATAACTATAAATAATAAATGTAACATAATTAAAATATAAACTTATCATATATTCTTAAATATAAATTCTGTGTTTTAAGCATTGCAAAATTTTGTACATAGCTTGTCTAACTGCCTCAAAAAGCATTTTAATTATTTCTAATTACTGCTATAGTGTTTATAATATTTTAATATTCAAATTTTCAATGTAGTGTATTCATTAATGTACAGAGAGTTACATAATTCTATCATATTAAAAAATATTAAAAATATTTCATATAATAATTGTTATAATATATGCTGAGTGCACAGGCGCAAAGAAAAATATGTAATTAAGAGTTGAAATTCGTCTTCCATGTCTAATTAATATATACATAAGATATATAAATATTAAACTTAAACAAAAATATTATATTATATTGACAAAAGCATACAAATATATTTTGCTGCTGGAGTTATAGATTTTTGAATCTTGCATGTGTATTAAAAAATAACAAAAAAAATCCTCCTAAAAAGGCTAGAAACCACGTGCATTTTTTAAATAATTTCATAAAGTTTAAAATAATTTAATTTTATGTAGTTACAAAATACCTTAAAAGTCTTGACAAAAAAAATTATTAAAAATAAACATATTATTCGGTCAAAATATTTAAAAAAAATATATACGAGTATGCAAGATTCTTAGTAATTTCATTATTGATTCTAATATAAAAAGCCAATATAGTTTTTAAAACTATTATAAATTACTTGTAGCATTTTTATTTAACTGTGTTTCATAAAACAATTTTATAATATTAGGCCTTTTCACACATTCTTTTAAAAATAATTAATTTTATTAAAGAGTTCTTAATATTTTATAGTAAAATGCCTTGCTATTTTAATTTTAATTGTTTATTTGTACTTTTGCCAAATGTGTGATTAGGCTTTAGATTTATCTACATATCAGTATGTTTTACAAAAAAAACATACAATAATATATATTATACTCATAAATATAGACAAAATATTCTCATTACTTATTATTATGCTGTCAGCAAATAAAATTGTTACTAATATTTCAACGGCACCTAAAATAAAATTTTGAAATGATATCTAAAGACCACTTTTATATTTCTAAAAGGTTGAATATGTATCAATGCCTTTCTCATCAGTTTGAAAACTCATTTAGATATCTAATTAGTCTTATAGATAAAGATTGATAGTAAAATATGCATATTGTATATGTCGAAGTGTTACAATTGATCAAATAAATAGATGTGGTTATAAAAAGGTAATTTCAATTGCCCCAAATTGACAATGTTGGAGGCAACATTTGTACCCAAAAACATATTTCCCGAAGAAGTTGTTTTTGCAACAAAATCCGATTTGCTCATTTTTTTGTTTTCTCGATGTGTAATTATTTCACGTAGTTATAGAATTTATTAAAACACCCCGTCGATAATTCAGGTTATTGGGTTATAATTCAACCCTTGTAGCTGAGGATTGTATTAAACACTGATTTGTTTGTATATTATGTATTTGTTGCAGTTCTAATTACAATCACTGATTTATTACTAAGTTTTAATGAAAGAAGATATATTTATTGGTTATTTATTATACATCTTGTTGCGGGGACTTTTCTTTTAGAAGTGAACAACTAGTTCAATTAAAACACAACGCTACCCCCTCTACCAGGAGTAGCAACCATTTCGTGTAAAGCTTAATGCCCTGAAGGTTGTCACCTTCATAGCCAATATAATAAAACGAAAATACGTCCGAACACGATGTTTGATATCATTCTGAAGCCTTTTACTCCAAAATTTGACCATTTATTCTTATATTAGTATGCAAGACTTCAGTGAAGCCAATAAATCATCTATTTCCAAAAATGTAATATATTTTTTTTTGGCTTAGAAGACTAACACTTTGAAACGATACCGACAAGGTTCCGTACCAGAAATATCTTAAAAATGTATTTATTTCCAAATAAATCATTTGCCCATTGTACTTAACAAATTATCTGCTGTAATCCGAAGCTTTTGGATGTGGAGGATCTTTTCGAAACAACTTTATGTATATATACAAAAATGTACATTTGTGTGTTTATATTTATGTGTATTAAGTGTATGTGTATAATTTTGTGTTTCTACAATATATATTCTAGGGGTTTGTGCTTTTCACGCCATATTACACAATGAACGTCGAACACCCTTATTACAATAGAGAGTGTCATATGACAAACAGCTACTGGGGACAACATGATGATGTTCTTAACGAGAAAATTATATGTGAAGAGCATAATTTTACATCTGGATAAATCATAATAATGGATGTAAATTATTGAAGTCCCGTTGGATAAAATAATATAGAAGTATCTATCAAAATTGCTCTTGATTTAAAATAAAAACCGAGGGAATGGATAGATAAATAAATAAATTCATTAGATCTTGTTCCAGGAGAGCAATAATGATAACAACGGGCATCAACTTATAGATGTATAAACTCATAATTTTTTTAATAACTTTTCTTTATTCTATTATTATTTGCAGTATTACTTGCTAAGTATAATTATTACCAAAGAATTTTTTTTTTAATTTTTGAATAAATACCGTAAAAGGCGTGACGAACTGCAAACAGATGACAAGGATTCGTGATGATGACAAATGGTACATGAAGCGAATATCCTTAGCAAAAGATGACAATTTTTGGACAAAGAAGAATGGACCAACATTTTGAAATATTCCCAAACTCATATAGAAAAGATATTATAAGATATTTAATAGTAAATCATTTACCAGTGAATATTGGCCTGACTGCCGAACAAAATAAACAATGACTTATTTTTTATTTATTTAATAAAATAGCCCACAGAGTAGCTGCAAGAAAACTATAATAATATATTTGTATATTTAAATGTATATAGTATTTTTTTTCATTTTTTATCATATAGTAATTTTGACACATGTTCTGAAATGAATAATAAGTAAAACTGTTGGATTAAAAAAAAGACTGAAAACACAAAATATTCTGACCACTGGCCTGACTGCCGTACAAATTATTTATTTAATTTATTATTTATTCAATTAATTATATATAGCTCACAGAGCAGCTGCAGAAGGACTATAATAATATAATTGTATTCAGTATATAATATAATTTTTTTTTCATTTTTTATTATATAGTAATTTTTACACCTATCTTGAAATGGACAAGTAAAACTAAAGGATTAAAAAAATTACTAAAATACAATATCTGAGATTTTGCAAATTAAAATCAAATTACTAAGAAACCATAGAATTTATCGTAAAACATAAATATTACAATTGACAAGAATAAAATATAAAACACCTCAAATAACTTGAATTTGAAAATTACATTAACATTTTAGAACCTCTGTAAGTTTCAGAATTATAAAATCTACTTCTGTTTCTTACAGTCGATGAATTTCATACATTGTGTAAAACGGAAGAGGATTATCTAAAATATATAATACGGATTATACGAATGAATACACGATTTTGCACTTTTGATAAATTTTTTTCTTTGAAAAAAAAACAACACGTTGCTAACAAAAAGATTTAAATACTTGCTTGCAATGTTGCGCAAAAAATGGTCAACTTTAAGGATAATCCTAGGAATGGAATAAAGGACACATGCAAATTTTATAGACGACGTAGTATGTTGTTTTAAATTAAAATATTAAAATACGACAATTTATATTTTTATTGGAATGTTTATGGCACTTGTGATTATAACTATTTTAGTTATATATATTATATACGTGTTGAAGAAAATAAAGATTTTGACATTGAAAATAAAATTAGAAAATTATTGGAATACCAAACATTTCCACATACAATCTTATATCATATCCACTTGTAGTTTACCATGGTTTACACCTAATTAAGAGCTTCAATAAGGACCATCCAAAGTACACTGATACCTCAGTATCTACTAACAAAATGATACAAGTGAAGAACAAAATTGCACTAGCTAGACAATTCTAAAAAATCTTTCCTCGATCCAACTCTATTTATTCCAAAACCTCACATGTGCAAATAATAAATAATGCCCTCAGTTCAAAAAAGTGTCATACATATTGCACACAAGGTCTGCACCTTTTTGCGTCAACAACAAGGGTCTACGCCCCCCAGAATTCCTTTCAAATCAAATAAACTTGTGTAATAGTTCGGAAAACAAGCACTAATCCCTGATCAGAGGTACTCGACAATGCTATTGATGTCTTTTACGGATCACCTGGCCCAGAGGAAAAGGTACTTGGGGTTAAATTATAAAAGACACATTTTAGGAACAAAATGTGATAATAACTAAATGAAATATATGTAATAAAAATAACTAGATGAAAATTATTATACTATTTACTATTTTAATTTTTTCGTTTTATTATATTGGCCATGAAGGTGACAACCTTCAGGGCATTAAGCTTTACACGGAATGGTTGCTACCCCTGGTAGAGAGGGTAGCGGAGTATTTCAATTGAACTAATTGTTCACTTCTAAAAGTAAAGTCCGCGAAACAACTTGTATAATAAATAACCAATAAATATATCTTC